CTACCTAAATGATGCATGCAGTATATACAGCCCTTCCTTGTCATGCACGTCCAAGTGACGTTTGGCAAATGTGTCTTTTTCCTATTCCTCAAACTGTAAAATCTTTGCAACAAAGTAAATTATAATAAAACTAAATGCTTTCTTTAAACCAGACTACGATGTTCCTGTTATATTTGGTGAATTTATGTTAGAATATTTTTGCAGAAATATGTTGGGGTGCATGATGGGGTTTTGCATCAAAAGGCTAAAGTTTCCTGTCTTACATGCATTGTTGCCAGGTTTGGATGTTTCCCAATCTGGCAGTTTAGGATGGCCGTCTATGGGTACAAAAAAATTTTCTTTAGATTTATGACCTAATGAGATCAATAAACTTTGGTTTAAATTGGGTGAGCTGTCATATATCCAGGTGGTTTATGAACATTTTTTGTGCTGGAAAATGTGAGTCAATGACATCTGGCAACCCTGCTGATGTAAATGTAGTGTCCGTGTCAAAGGTGCTGTAGGAGATCTTGGAAAAACGGTTCCAGCAAGCTATATTTCTGAACATACACAACCATGCCTCTACCTTCAGACTGCTCTTCGAAACCACGCCTTCAAAACACATGAACGCGCATGCTGTCTGCAGCGCGTCTGGAGCAGCAGGAGCTGCGCTGATGATGCATTAACTTAAAATGTGGAAATCCGCTTGCATAACATGTTCATTTTTATTATCCTGGTGGCTGCAGTTTGGAATACCTACATGAAAAACGACTTCCAGCCGCCGCAGCAAACCGCGAGGAAGCAACCGCCAAGCTGCTGTTGAATGGGATTTCCAGTGACAGAGCTCCACCGGTATGTGGGGGTCTGAGCGGCTCCCACTGAGAAATAATCTTTGAAGGCAGGATGGTAATCTGGATGAACTGACTGCTCAGATGAAGTTTTCAGGTGGACTTTCTCACTTAAAAATAGATTCAAATTACTTTTTACCCACTGATCACAGCTAATATAGCTGCCATTGTTCCAGGCAAAGAAAGGATAGAGAAGCTCCACCCAACTGGCATCAGACCCACTTTACCACCCTGCAGCCAGAGCAGCAAAGATGCTTCAGCCACGCGTCAGGTTTGGAAGTACAAGCACTTGTACGATGCCTGAGACATGTTGTTTTGGAAAATAAACACTCCCGCCGGCGCTGCCGAAGGAGTTCTCGCGAGTTCTTGAATAGGCTCCGACTAGGCCTGTGCTCCCCTAGAAATTCCAGACCGATGTTGCAGAAGCATACCAGCAAAACTGGTTAGCGACCAGACCTAAGCGGCATTTGATGTGTGCGGTTGCAAAAGTATAATTCGCCCTTCAGAGCTAAACTGGTACGAGCATCAAAAATGAAGCAGCACGCAGGTTTTTGCTGCTCTTGCCGCTTTAGGTGTGAACGTAGCATAACAGTGGCTAGCTTCCAGCCATCGGGTCCTGCACGAGTATTGGGGGGTCGATTCGTTGATGTGTCAGGGTACGTGCACAGGGGGAGGGTCAAGCACACGACCATAATTGACATGTCGGGAACCTATTGTGTACAACGGACCGTCTTTTATGATTGGTTGGGGTTAAACATTGATTTCTCACTGTAG